CTGGACATATCGACATAAGCACTAACAACATAAGAACAGCATTACATCGCTAGTGTGAACATGCAGTCATAAAAACATATTACCATCATAACCACACAAACATAACAACATAAGGAAAAAACTGATTTTTTCCTATGTCATTATGATACAAATATATCGTTATGACTGCATGCTCACATTAGCGACATAGCGGCGGGGCTAATATGCTGGTAACTGGGAGCTGGTAACTGGTAACTGGTAACTGGTAACTGGTAGCTGGTAGCTGGTAGCTGGTAGCTGGTAGCTGGTAGCTGGTAGCTGGTAGCTGGTAGCTGGTAGCTGGTAGCTGGTAGCTGGTAGCTGGTAGCTGGTAGCTGGTAGCTGGTAGCTGGTAGCTGGTAGCTGGTAGCTGGTAGCTGGTAGCTGGTAGCTGGTAGCTGGTAGCTGGGAGCTGGGAGCTGGGAGCTGGGAGCTGGAGCTGGGAGCTGGGAGCTGGGAGCTGGGAGCTGGGAGCTGGGAGCTGGGAGCTGGGAGCTGGAGCTGGGAACTGGGAACTGGGAACTGGGAACTGGGAACTGGGAACTGGGAACTGGGAACTGGGAACTGGGAACTGGGAACTGGGAACTGGGAACTGGGAACTGGGAACTGGGAACTGGGAACTGGGAACTGGGAACTGGGAACTGGGAACTGGGAACTGGGAACTGGGAACTGGGAACTGGGAACTGGGAACTGGGAACTGGGAACTGGGAACTGGGAACTGGGAACTGGGAACTGGGAACTGGGAACTGGGAACTGGGAACTGGGAACTGGGAACTGGGAACTGGGACTGGGAACTGGGGAACTGGGAACTGGGAACTGGGAACTGGGAACTGGGAACTGGTAGCACGAAGAGTTGTTTCCATTTTGTTATTATTTTTTTATTACAAACTTTTCTCATACGAGGGTCACTAATGTTTTGATTTTGCGCTTGTGGCGAACCGATAAGTGTTACACAAAACCGATCCTGTAAACTTTGTGTCAGAACAACTGACGTGAATTCTAACGTTATGCGGTGATTTCAACTTAATTAATTAGTGTCCTAATTACTTTCAAACCCTTTTCGGCTAAACTATAGAATACAAGGCCATTTTTCCACAATTATTCATTCAAGTGGCTCGGCGGCTCGCCAGTCAAATAGAACATGTATTACGCAAGTGGCCCGGCGGCTCGCTAGTCAAATAAAACACGTATTACTCAAGTGGCTCGGCGGCTCGCTAGTCAAATTGAACAAGTTTCACTCAAGTGGCTCGGCGGCAAAGCAAGCTTACCTGTTTATTCTCACAAAATTTTGCTTTGAGGCGTCACAACGGTAAGTTATGCAATTTGAAAGTCACGCTTCGTCACAGAGCAAACTTCACCGCTGGCTTTGAGGCGTCACAACAGGTTATACAAATACATTTCGCTGGGTTCGTGATAATTTTCTGTTGTTGTATCTCGGTTCAGAATCGTTTATCCGATTCATCGAATTCGATGTGTATAAAAGTAAACTTTATATCGAAATTTCGCTCGCTTCGACGTCGCGCGGACGGCTAGATAATTATGCGCACTGATTACAATCTTGTGAAATGTAAACAAACAATATATCCTTTCACATTTTCGCGGACTATTTTTTGACGGTTTAAGGTTTATTTCAAGTAAATTGCTTTCCGTGAAAGAAGAAAATATTATTTTCTATCATTCTTTCGGTTTCTATGAGTGAAATATACTATGTGTTGAAACAGTTTTTCGAAGGAAACACGCTCCGACTGGCTTCGCACGGATGTTTGCAGATTAAAAAAATACGCCTCTAAAATATACATATTTATCGTTCTTTAAATTCTTAGAGGGACTGGCGAGCCACCGAGCCGCCGAGCCACTAAAAATCAGAACATTAGTGACCCTCGTATGAGAAAAGTTTGTAATAAAAAAATAATAACAAAATGGGAACAACTCTTCGTGCTACCAGTTCCAGTTCCCAGTTCCCAGTTCCCAGTTCCCAGCTACCAGTTCCCAGTTCCCAGTTCCCAGTTCCCAGTTACCAGTTCCCAGTTCCCAGTTCCCAGTTCCAGCTCCCAGTTCCCAGTTCCCAGTTCCCAGTTCCCAGTTCCCAGTTCCCAGTTCCCAGTTCCCAGTTCCCAGTTACCAGTTCCCAGTTCCCAGTTCCAGTTCCCAGTTCCCAGTTCCCAGTTCCCAGTTCCCAGTTCCCAGTTACCAGTTCCCAGTTACCAGTTCCCAGTTACCAGCTCCAGTTCCAGTTCCCAGTTCCCAGTTACCAGTTACCAGTTACCAGTTACCAGTTCCCAGTTCCCAGTTACCAGTTACCAGTTACCAGTTACCAGCTCCCAGTTACCAGCATATTAGCCCCGCCGGCGACATAGCGACATAACAATGTTCTTATGTCGTTAGTGTGAACCAGGCTTAAAGTCCCGATCAAATGGTCACAACATTTGTCACAACATTCTCACAACATTTGTTGCGAGCCGATGTTGAGACCGTTTGACCACCCCTCACAACAATGTTGTGAGGTGTTGTGACATGTTGTGATGAGTTTGAATTCTTTTAAACTTTGTCTCAACATCTCTACAACATTTCTTTTGTTCTTGAAATGTTGAGAGGTTGTTGTGGCTGTTTGACCGGGCATGGTCACAACAAATGTTGTGATAAATGTTGTGATCATTTGATCGGGCCTTAAGACTAACGAAATCGAGTGAAGCAATCCACAAACAACAACCTGTGCTAGCGCCAGACGGCCAATCAAACAAATAGTGCATTGGTTGGCTATAAAATATCCAATTGATGAAATCGATGATGGAATCTATATCAATATTATTATTATTAATCAATATATTTTGATAATCGATGACCTATCGATGATGAAGATTTGTGTGACCTTTTATCAATTGCCATTGATTTCCAAATGGAAATGACTTTGATTTGCATGTAAATGAACATACAGTGGAACCCTGCCTTACGACCACCTCGTTAATACGACCACTTTCTTTTGTCCCGAACTGAAAATCTCTCAGTCATTTTCTTATTTAAGAACCCCTTTAATACGACCACCCCGTTAATGAGACCAGATTTTGCTGGCCCGTTGGTGGTCGGATTAACGGGGTTCCACTGTACAAGTAAAACTCATTTTCATATGTCTTGAAAGACTCGTTTTGAAAGAGAGGCAAAAGACAACTCGGAAATGGCCTATTGATTGGTTGCAAAAACAATTTTCATCTCAAAGTGATATTCAAACTGCAAATAAACACGGATACCATTATTTTACCATCAACGGGGTGCATCAGTTGTCCAGACTGATGCGGTTCTAAATCGCAAGATGAAGGCATAGTGGGGGGTGCTTGACATGTACAGCTTAAAGTACACTTTTTTATCACGAGATATTTCCCAATCATGCCATACTTTTAGTATTTCCAAAGGCTAGTAATTTTACAATATTGGGTAATAATTCAAGGCTATCAGTTGAGCGCTAATAGTGCTAGGCTACATTTTGCACATTACCTCGCAGCAGCAACATTGGCAATTTTTTGGCCTTGCTATATTGATTTCCCAGCTCCCTCCCTATTAAAGGGGTGTTGTTACATTTATCGACAGCTTTTCTGTTTGTATTTTGTTAGGGTATTGTTAGTATTATTATTTGTAAGTAGTTGTAGGTTAATTTTATGTTGGAGTAATTTACATATTGTAATAGATATTAGATATTATTAGTTATTTCCCAGGTATTTTAGTATTGTTATTAATTATTAATAAAGGCTGTCTTGTATCCCACACTATGCTTGGTTTACTGAGTTTTGAGGATTTAGTGATAAGCTTAATATAAGCTTATATAGGATGGCAGTAGCGATCAATCAAAGCACAAGGCCTGTAAACAACCACCTTAAACCATTACAAAAAATAGCTGTTTCGGTGTTTCGTGGTTTAGCACTGTCCGGCTGAAATGGTTCTTAACTTTAAGTATAAGCTTACATTGGATGTCTAGTGAGAAATGAGGCTGTTTAGGTCTCGTTTACCTTCTGCCTTCTGACTCAAGCGAGTGAACCTGAGAATTATGTAATCGGTTTTACGGCTTATTAAAGCCGTATAGTAGTCGACCATTAGCTTACCTTCAAGTCGTTTAAACTCCTGTGTTCTAATTTTATCAATTTGTCCAGCATACCCATACTGTTCTCCAGAGGAATACACAAACTCTTCGTCTCCTTTGCTCATACTTCTCCAATACTAAGTCTGTAGACAGTCTGTACGGGTCCACTCGTCCAACTCGCTCGGTCCACGGGCCTCTGACGTCATGTGATACAGGGCCAATCAAAGAACATGATCTATTCATTCATTGGTACACGTGCAATGGGACACTTATTCCTTTGCCAAGGAAATATTCCCAAGGAAATAGGAGAGGTTAGCTTAATTTTATAATATCCGTAAGGCCAGCAGGCAGGAAATAATCTTCAAGAGGGTCACGACTTTTAATATTTAATTTAGTATACATGTTAGTGGGTGTGATATAAATATAAGAAAAATACAATGGTATGGAAAATATAGCTAATTACAACGTGGCAATAAATGTAGAACATATAACTAATTACAACTAGACAAGAAATATAGAAAAAGACTAATTACGGCGTGACAAAAATAAAGAAAAAAACAGAACAGAGAATATATACTGATAAACAAACAAAACTAAATAGCCAGTGAAAGATTGCCATGAAAAATTTGCCTATTGAGTGTGGGTTTTTCCCAATGGATATGTAGCACCTCCTTGATTTTAGGCTGGAATAAGACAAAGGTACAATAAAAAATAATAATAATAAAAATAATAATGGACTTCCAAATTGCCAAATTCCACAGGTACCCCAACCCAAGCTCATATTATTTTGTTCCATGTTATAGCTGAATGTAAAAATTTGAAACGAAGTTAACTTTTATACCTGCCAATCGAACACAATAGTTCAATTTAGTTCGACCGAGAAGGAAAAAAAAAAGAAGAAAAAAAAAGAAGAAGGCCCGGACGGGATTCGAACCCGCGATCTTCGGTTTTCTGGGTTACAAGTACGAGACCGACGCCTTACCACTTGGCCACCGAGCCATCACGACCATTTGCTGGCAAATTTAATATTTAAATTTAATTCGTGCGTTGAGCTCACTGGCACGCGTTTCTTCGAAAGTCGACGAGCCCGAAAATGAACTTGTATAAAAATTCCCGAAAACGAAATTTTCGGGCCCATAAACATTACGTCATTTTCACCCTCCCCAATAATTTAATTAATTTTATCAACAAAATGTTATGTTATAGCGCCGCCGGACACAATACCGTAGAATTCCGAAAGTAACGACCCCCGTTACGTTTTCGGATTTAGCAGGACAAAGTCGACAAAGGGGCCATTACTTTCGGGTATTAACCGTTACTTTCCAGGTTCAGATGGTTAAAAAACGTTTGTGATTTGTATCACATCGAATGTTCCGAAATCGAACTCAATCGAACTTAATCGAACTCAATCGAACGATTGAGTTCGATTTAGTTCGGTCATCGAACGAAATCGAACTCGCACAAAAAAATTGCGAATCGAACAAAATAGAACGTTCGGTTTTTGAGCTCTTGATTATAAATACATAATAGATTCAGGCTCCATCTGCCCTTTGGGTCATTTACAGGACTGGGATGACCGACATTCGATTTGGTTCGATTTGGTTCGGAAATCGAACTCACAAAAAAATATGTGTTCGATTTCGTTCGATGACCGAACAAAATCGAATTTAATCGTTCGATTTGTGAGTTCGATTAAAATTTCGTTCGATTCCGTTCGATGTGATACGCCGGTCTCTGTGAGGAGTGGACATATGAAGGCTTTTTACGGACAAAATATCGAACGTGCATACATCGATGTTGTGTGCAATAAATACAACTAAAAGATGTTCGATACAACTAAAAGATGTTCGATAAAACTAAAAGATGTTCGATAAAACTAAAAGATGATCGATACAACTAAAAGATGAGGAAGCGGAAATGATTAGGAGACAGGAAGCGATGTCATATTGTACCCAGGTTCCTCGCAATCCAACGTAAAAAAATGACAGACAGTGGAACGGGGACTTGGGGACGGGGACGCTGGGACGCCTGTTTGGAGACGTGATGCGGGGATGCTTGGGGACGTGGGATCGGGGATGCGGGAACGCGGGATCAGGGGCGCGAAGACGCGGGGAAAAGGAAGAACGATTTTCTGCGCTTACATGTAATGAAGGTTAAAATACAATGTGCGGAAAAACAACAAAGGTACGACAGTTTCCTATGAAAACACGACCCCCGATACCCACGCATTTTATTGAAAAGGCGCTTAGGCTAATACTACAATATAATTTATTCCAGTTCACTGGAAAATAAGAGCGACCCTAAAACATGGAATGGAGGAATGGCGGAATATCACCCCAAATCCTAAAAGATGGAATGGCGGAAAATGACCACAAATTCTAAAAGATGGAACAACGGAAAATTACCCCAAATGCTAAAAGACGGAATACAAAAAAAACAAGAACTCCTAAAGTAGTTTACAAGCGGCCGATTACCTTAATAATGGGGGAAACAACAATCGATCTCTCCTCCCCGACTCCCCCTCGGTCACTGTACTCTGAGGTGCACCCCTAAAATGAGCGAGAGTCAGCATACGAACATGCGTGACGAGAAATATAAATATAAGAAATATAAAATTAACTTTCGTTACTTCGTGACACGGACCCCTCCATTTCCTGCTCTGTAGTGGCTCTTCTCGAGTAGTTGAGGTTATTTTCCCTTGTCTAATTAAATATTTCGCTTGTTTCTTTACATGAAAAGAGCTCTTACACGACACGAAAACTATCCGCGGTCACTGGACTCTGAGGTGCACCCTCCAAATCCTAAGAGTCAACACACGAACCTGCGTGACGAAAAACGTGACTGCCTGATGTAATATATTGCATCATGCTCCGGAAGCCGGAGAAATTCTCTTGTGTTTAATTTTAGCTAATGTAGATTGCATCATATTCGACGTGGGCAAAGATATGTTTTCGCTCAACGTGAAAATAAATTGTGAATGACATATATGCTGTGGAATTGTGTTAAGAAAAACTGTTATGTTTTTGGGACCGGGTTTTATCGTTCGTTTACTGGTTGAGGTGCATGTATTAAACAGAACAGAAATTCTCTTGTGGCTATTTATTTGCATGTCTCCTGGCTACGTTTACAATGTAACGGGGAAACCCCTCACACGCAAAGGTCACACCGCCAAATTTAGCACATTTTGCAACAACACCACTGTTCACTGCTATGGGACATTTGTCTTTGCTTTTTCCAATGCGATTACTGTAATAAACTAAATACATCTACGCACTTACACGACACTACAGAAAGAATGTGGAAGAGAAATTCTCTACTGGCTAATTTCAGACCGAGATGCGATAAGATCATGTCAACCGTGAAGAGGACTAAGGCTAGCGACACGAAAAAAAAAGTGCATTTCTTGAAGCGGCCGCTGCGCATGGGCCGCTTAAATACGGAAGAGAAAAAATATAATAAAGTTAACATCCGTCTAGTTCGATCGTTCGAGAGGAAATCGAAGCTCGTTCGCTCCAACAATCGAAAGAAAGCGTGACTATAACTCGCAGTCTAGTTTGTCGTAAGAGAGAATGCTGTCCTCGAAATCCCACCTGCTTGGAAAAATAAGATGGCTTAGTTTTTGGAGGATCGATCGCGTAACATCAACCTCGATTCCAGGCTCTCTCTCCTTTTCCTCCCTTGTCTCTCTACATTCTCGTCCCCACAGCCCTTTCGCATCTCTTAGCCGGCGGCCAGCCGGCGGGGCGTCCCCGCCGGCTAAGAGATACGAAAGGGCTGGCGGTCCAACAGAACTCGTCCCCAGGGCCATCTCCGCTTTCTACTTTGAACGCCGAGAAGACTCTGGGGACGAGGTGGTGTGGTGCATTGCATTGTGGTCGAGCGGTCGAGCGTCGCTTTCAGCGGGAACAGCAGAAAACATGGAGGTTTGTGTTTTATAGATTATAACTTTTGCCTGAAGCACTTCAGTCGTAATGATTAGCAAATACGTTAACTTAAATTTGGAATATATGTTTTAACAGGTCACTTCTGATCAACAGCATTAGCTTATGCATGGACTGGAGCGATCACAAATTTTTGGACGCTGTACAGTTGACTGTACATGTGTACTCACCAGCATCATGTAAGTTTCATTTCACTTCCAAACCAGTGAAAGTGTTAGAAAGCGTTGTTTTATATAGAAAACACTGCTTTATTTCTGTACATTTAGATATCTGACAATGTTTTATATAGAAACCGTTGCTACACTACACTACTGTACATGTATAACCAATATGAAATAGACCATAAGTTTGTACATTTACAGTACACTCTTATTTGATAGTTTATAATTGCTGACTATTATTGTGATTCTGTTTTATTAGCGCATAGCAAAGATATCAGTTACCTGAAGGGAGTCATAGCATTGATTATTACTGGGCAGGTTTGTTAGTAATAAAAGTTTAGAGTTCGACTGTAAGAACTCTTGAATTGAAAGAGAAAGGCTTTTGCAGTCTTGTATGCTTATGTTACAATTCACAAAAATGAATGATTATTGAGATCAAGGGGCAGTATATCCTGAGTTAATAATTTATTTGTCAGAGTTTCCTCCTGAAAGAAAGCAGCATGTATTGCTAATAAGTGACAAAACTAACAGCTCAACACATTTGTCTTTATGAATAACAACAAATTTCTGTCTGGTATTCCAAACCAGTTTATACAGGGTAAGAGAAAAATGTTGTCATCTACTTGTCCTTCGGACAACCATCAGAAAGAAAGGTTTAAAGGTTTTTTCAGACAACCAACTTGTCGGAGGAAACCCAAAAGTACTTGTCCAATCAAATGTTTGTTCAACACTCAAAGAAATAAAGTTAACTTTGGATGTGTTTTCAATCATAACATTAAGTTTTGTATTTTCCATTTTCCAGTGCTCTTGAAAATTGCATTTTTTCTTCGTATACTCTTGCTGTGCGTGCAAGGCTTGCCCTTTCTTTTTGCTATCAACTTCTCGGCTACTTGTTGGAAACGGCGACATTTTCTTTTTTCCTTTGATTTGGAATAAAAGTAAACAGTGTTTTTGTCGCTTTTGAGATTCCGACATTTTTTAATTTTGTCGGTAGAGTCTGGGATTGAGTCTAACTTTAGGTAAGGTTCCTAAGCTGTAAGATACAGACCTCACAAAAACAACTGCAATGGCTGCTGGAATATTTACGCTTATTTGTCAAGTAAGAATTTTTCGTTTCTGATTATTGACTAAATTTTTATTTTGGCTCAATTTAAATCAGTTTTCATCTGTTTCAATATTTGCAAGTAACCAGAAAATAGCTTGTCCCACGGACAAGAATCAAATATTATTGTCCCGGACAATTGGACATAGGTTTTGGCTCACCCTGTTACATGTATAATACAGTTAAATTTGACGGTCAGTCCTAGCAACTAGTATCACTACACATTCAGCTTAAATAATAATTATTACTGGATTGTTCAAAAGCAATGGCTAACTTGATTTGATTTGTCTCTTTCTTTCATTTTATAGTAATGGTAATGGTATTTAAGTGCATTTTCTATAATATTCAAATGCACTTTACAATTCAACTTGGGTGAGACCGGACGTCAGCTTGTAGTACTATATTTCAAAGGAAATAAAGGTTCAGTGGGCTATGTAGTCATCGAGTTTGGTGCCAAAACCAATGTTACTATATAGTGTCATGCCAACCTAACATCTCAATTTTTGTATATCTGCACAGAAACACAATTTATGTACCATTTATGCATATTTTTAGGGACATTTAAGGCTGAGTTTACTTGTGTTCAGGCATGGTTTATATTCACACAATGTGGACTTTCAGTGCAATTTTTGAATAATTACAAATTGCAAAGTTATTGATCACCTTCCAAAACATAATAATTATTTATACTTTTTTAACATATTTCTTTATATACACAAAATATGAAGCCAATGTAATTACAGAGGTCACTTCATACATGTCTACATAGCGTACATGTACACTTCTATTTACAAT